TAGTTCCGGGCAGAATTATGTTGGTCGTGGGCCGGAATTATTTTAATGCCGGCCAAATTAAACGGTTAAACGATTAAGCGATTAAGAAAAATTTAGGCGGTTCCAATCCCTAATAATGATCTACACCATGCATATTGTTTATTTGTTTACATGCTTATTTATTACAACAATTCGTGTAAAGTAAAACTTAACTATCGGATAACATCATACGTACGACAAATAACAGCAAATTGTTTTTTTGAGGCCCGCTAACAGCATGAACTAAAAAATGCAGAAGATCCACAATTATGGCTGCAGGTAATAGGTGTAACAACAAAACCTGTAATTAAAAAGGGTAAAATAACGAGAATGATGACAGAAATCCACAATTATGGCCACTACCTACTTTCAAAGATTTTCTGATGAAATCAAAATTAATATTTTTAGACATGTTAAATTTCCGATTAGTTTAGCGATAAGTTGTAAAAGTTGGTCTAATATTACCAGAGATAGTCAGGCGAAAGCAGAATGGATTATTTATAATCATGGTCAGGCACATGCATTTTTTCATGCAGTTAGATTAGGACCAACTTTCATTAATCTATCCGTCGCACGTGCAATCATCGTGAAGCGAGGAATTCTTTCTAAATACTTTATTCAACGACTTCTTACCCACTTTGGAAGTTACGATCCAAAATTAATTGAATTGAAAATCGAATACGAAATTGGTTCAATCGACGTCGAACGATTCAAATTGTTGCAGAGAAAGGTTCGTGCACCTTGGGCGAGTGATTTACAACTACCAGTCTTTACTTATTTACTAGAAGAAGCGTCAAAACAATTTGAACATAGTTTTTACAGAAACAACGATATGGAAGATTTTCATCGTCTTTCTGTGGCGCCAGATATTAAAAATAACATAGATAAAATTAAAAATTTAATATTGCATAAAAAATTTATTCCATTCCCTCCAAAACGACTTCTTTCAAGACCGTATAGACAACTTGAAGCTTGTTACATACAACTTAAAATCGAACGTCCAGACGGCTACGAAAGCATACAAAACCTTAATATAATTGCGCAGGCAATTTTAAAGTGTGATGAATTGGTCCATATTTGGAAAGAAATTGGTTATTATGAAATATGTGATGATGTAAATGATCTCGTAATCCGAGGCGCGCTCTTAATTCTCTGTCAGGATCGACCAGACGATAAAGTTATTGTCGAAAGACTTAAAAGATTAATTGATATTGGTTTTCAACTAAGTTATTCAGTTATCGGTGACATGCTTTATCTTTTTGAATGTAGGTTAGAAGATATTGGCAGGAAATTGATAGAATCGTTTATGTATATTAAAGGAGCATCACGTGAAAATTTTCTAGACCACTGTTTAGTCGAATCATTAAGACCTGAGCGTAATACGAAAAAACATCTCGTCTGGGATTTTCTCTATACATTAACACAGAATTACACAGAAACTCTATTTATTAAAGCATGTGGCCATTATTGGGACAAAAATGTAAATTTAAACATTCCTATTACGCAACTTACTTTACCATCAAAGTTTTATGCTTGGGTTCTAACCAAATTCGGCGTAGACGCGAAAATTACGAAGCTTTGTTTTGAAGACATCTTAAAAGCACGAATTAATATTGATAAACAACTTCAACAAACCCCCAATGTTAAAATTCCTATTGAAATGAATCCAAATGTATTCTATGAACTTTGTGGCATCCTTAGAGCCTATAACAAAGCCAAAAATTTTTATTTACCATTACATTTGAATATAATTTCTCAATGTAAAGCAGCGGAAATTCTGATGCCGTTATTTAAATGCCATCTACCTAAGTTATTTAAGGAAAGTATAGACAGCAATATGCTACATGAATGGGAAGACGTATTACATATGTTGCATAATAATTTAAGTGAATCAACAGAGGAGTTTAAAAGTTATTTTCTTGGCTTTATTAATAGAAAGAAATAAGTTTTTCACTGTAAAAGACTATCTTGTAAGATTTTTAAGTTTGTATTTTATTATGTATTTATTATGATTTACTATTGAATTATGCCATTATAGAGAGCGAACGTAGTGCGTGTATTTATAGTTAAAAATAAGAGTAAAGAATAGTCAAATATTCTCTCAACAATCTGTTAGTATTATTAATCCTAAATAAATACTGAACTCTATGATTTTTAGAATATTATGAACATTTGTTGCATTGGTTGTCAAAGATGTTATCCTTATTTGAATGATTTTGATAATATTCTTTTAAGGTACAGATCCATACGCGAACTACTCCATTTTGAATTATATTGCCATATAAAAATGAAAATATAATCTAATCTGTGGTTTTGTGGATTTTAATGAGCTTACAGGAAAGTACGTTAAATAATTCACGTGAAAGCAGGGTTGGCAATAGCCAACGGAGTTTGATGTTTATACGAATGGAGCTCAAAAAAACTAGTATCCATTGACTCCATTCAGAGATGCAGATCCATTGCCAACTCTGCGTGAAAGTGTATTGTTCGATACAATATACAATATTTCGATTGATGCCTTCAAGCGAATACTTGAAATAACACACTTGAATTCGAATCTAAATTATCATTTGTAATTTGTAATTTTGATATTTATATGGATGGAATATGGGGGTCTTTGCCTTGAAAATCACCTCCCAACATTTTCGATCGGGTTAATTCGGACAAAAACGAAGCCATGTATTAATTCATGTTTATATGTAAACCCCCCTTTGTTTTCATGATTCAATAGTTTATAGAATAAAGTTTCGAAACAATAAAGCAAAAAGAGATTCAAGTATAAACGTGAGCTAATATACGGATTTGTTTTTGTCCGAACAGAAATGTCAGAGGGTGATTTTCAAGGCAAAGACTCCATATATTTAAAATTTTGGCCTGGATTTGATAGGTCAAAGTTGGTTAATTTAACACGTGGTGAAAATATTCGGGAACCGATTATTCGGACTCGGAAATATGGGCTTGTTATTTTGGATTAACTTTGTTTTTAAAAAAAATCCCTCAATGAGAATCCTAATTCTTTTTCGAAACTTGATATGCTTTTGAACTTTAATTTGATGGATTCCAATTTTACTGGATTGAAACTTGTTTACTAAAAAATACGGTCTATCGCGAGTGAAAACGATCAGACACTAAAGAAATCGAATGTAATAAATAAAGACATGTCGTTAGATTTAAGTTAAAATCTCGCAAGGATTTTTTTTTCTTGTTACGTACAATGCAAAGTTTCATATGCAAAATTTTGCATTATGTAATCGCTATTCGTTTTTAACGGTTAGGATTCAATGCACGAAGCGCACAGCTCTACTTATACGTAAAAGTAAATCGCATTTAATCCAACAATCACCAATCCACTCCATCTAGCCAATCAATACTAGAACATTTATGGCTTATAATGCGGATATCCCTTTTTTTACTCTGGTGAAATGGTTTTGGATTTTGAAAATGATTCGCCCACAATATTAGACATGCCAATTAGGGTGCAAACCCGGAATATGTTTGGGCCCAATAAAAGGCACAGACATGAGACTGCTGGTTTGATTTAAACTTAAAATTGGTTCATAAGACCCAGGCACTTTTGTAGGCATAAAGCGCCAAGATACTCTGTACTTACAAAACATTTGCTCATGGGCACAGGCAACACCGCATCAGGCATGATGCCTAATATCTGTGGACATTTGCAGATCTTCAACACCTATGCACTTGCAAAAGCCATCAATTTTTGAAGACCGAGTCGTAAAAGATGGATGGACAAGGTAATAAATAAAAAAGTAATAATTATATTTTTTTTACCCCTTTACTTATTTTTATACTTATTACGATTGATTATTTCTTACGATTCGCAAATTCGATCTGAATGATATTATTTTAAAATCTGATCCAAGCTTTACTTTATTGATTATTACGTAATGGTAAAAAAATTAATACGTAATAAGCAATTATTAATAATAACAATAAGTAATCATGCATACTAACAATCACCCATCTCTGGTGAATCGGTATTCTGTTGTGAGATAAGTATTATATCAGAATTTTTGTTTCGGAGGTTATTATATTCTCGCTAATTTTACATGTCACTTTCCTTTATCGTTGTTTGAAATGATGTATCTTTGATCAAATTTTGCAGATCGCAGCTCACATGTACAATCATTTGATTGTTGTGCGATTGTAGTGATTTTCTTAATAAAAATTCAATAAGTACAAATAAAATATTTTATATTAATAACCTCAAAATACCTCTATATTCCAGTATTCTCAAAAACAACTTCGCACAATAATTCAATCGGACAACAATCAGATAATTGTATGTGTGAGCTGCGATCTGCAAAATTGATCAAAGATACATCATTTTGCAATCTTACAGGGCGGCAATACTTAAAGTCGGGGAAATTTTTTTTTAATTTCACGTTACACCTGATCTTGTCTCCGGATGTGGCTACGTTAAAATGGAACTTGTATTTTTAAAGTTTAATAATTATTAATTAAGGAGCTCTCAGGCACCTCTCTCAGTGAGTATAATTGGCCAGTTTAATCAGACAGACCAATCAGGTTAATTCCACCGAGAAGCAATCATGCTTTGACTTACTAAGAAATGGGTTTCATGTTTCGATGAGAACCTTTTAAATCAGAGTATATTTCGTTAGAATACATGCGCAAGATATTTTTACATTAAACAAATTTGAACATTTCTCTCCCCCTATTATTTTTATTTATCAGTACGCATAAAAAGACAAGTACTAAATTGATCGTCGGACATCTAATAAATATCGCATATCCATTTGTAATACAAATCATCCATGAACCGTTAAGCTAAGACCATAATGCTTACCTTTGTGATTATTACCATAACCAAATTCAATGAAAAAATTGAAGTTAACAAATCCAGTTTATTGAGATTTGCTAATACTGTCCCTGGAATGACCCACACATGTGACAATTAGTAGTGATACTAACTGTCGCACTGTTATCAAATAATGGATTTACCCGAGACTTTAACTACCGAACTAGAGCACCAGTTTATTTACCAGTTTATTGAGAATATTGCTGCATATGTGAGTTATGAGGTATGCAAGAATTTATTAAAAGTTAGATTCGTAAAAATGTAAAAGAAAGAAAACATGTGAAAAATTTTTCTATGATGCAAGAAACCAATGTAGAGGCAAAATTTTCAAAATTCCGCAGATAACTTTGTTCTCATAATAAGCGCTACTAAAATTTATCAGTGGATTCTGAAAAATTTTGTCTCAATGTTGGATTGAAAGTTTTTAAATTTTTGAAACAATTGTTGAGGCTTCCTGCATCATATGAAAGGTAAATCACATTCGTTGGCAATTGCATTGCTTACAGTATCCCTAAAATAATAACTTACCTTATAAAGTACTTATCTTCAATGAAACTACTGAAACAATGAAATAGTACCAGGTAATACTATTCAATTTTAAAATGGAATTCTTGGATAAACAGAGAGAAACGGTAGCATTTATCAGCTTATCGAGAGTGATTTACCTATTTACGGAAAGTACAAATTGCGCCATTGACGTATACGTCCAATACTGTAATTATCGACAGACATTACACGAAGTGACACATAATGTAAACCAACCCTTTAAAATACTATTTATACATTAATGTGGTGCGTAATGACACTGGACAACGTACTATGTACTTTATGTACGTATGTACTTGTAATATATTACATAAATTCTCACGTGTTAGCGTGCTTGAGGATGACTATGGTGTAACGTTCATACAATATCTAAATAGGAAATTCAGCAAACGATGACGACTTTGTATAATACTTAATCGATAATTGATAAATTTATTAATTGTCGAAAAGTAATATTTCTCTTATTATAGCTTTCTTTTGTTTTTTTGTTTTTTTTTTTAATACAAACCGATTGCGGACGTCTTTCGAGTTGATATTTCTATTTTGACCTAAAAGATGAATGAACTTCAGAATCAAAACATATTATATGTGGATACCCTATGCCAAGGTTATAGAGCATTCACCTTTCTTGCTATCTAGCAGTACGCGTGTTGCTCAAAATTGGTTCCATTTCTTTGCATCGTTGGTGGACAGAATTATATTCCCCGAAGTCTCAAGAACAACGTTCCAATGCCGAAAGGCTACTAGACGTCGCCTTTCCAACTTTTTCCGAGACTTCGGCTGTACGTGCCAACGGAGCAAGTCCTTTAGGTGTCAAAATTCAGTCTCCTCTTGAGACTTCAATGTTTTGTAGGTGGCTCCTAGAAAAATCTACTTCTCCCTATGCCCAAATGTTTGCGGCTGCAAGATTAAAGGGTCTCGTCCTGGATCATTATACTATGTTTTCCATGCCACAAAAAATAGAACTGAGTACGGGTTTGCTCTTTTCGGGCTGAATAGCTATATATTGTGTTTTGACAGTGAAATAATAAGCGCGTTTTTTTTTTTTTTGCAAACCCATTTGTCTAATTTTTGTTATAAATTTTAAAAAATAAATAAATGAAAATAAAATATAAGGGAATTTTGTGTTGAATTATATGGCACAGCATCCAGACTATCAGCCTTTTGTTTTATCTTCTCTTGCACAACTTTTTGCTACTATATCAAAAGTTGGATGGTTTGAAGGCGAAGAATTTAAAAATATTACTAATGATTTGTCCAATTTTATTCAGGTAAGTTTTATGATCTGGTTTTATATCGTTTTTAGTATAAATGTAAAGTGAAAACCCTTTATGCAACGCGTATAACTCTTTTGCACTTAAAGTCCACACCAGACCATATTATTGTAGGTTTACAAATTCTTTCGATAACTGTCGCGGAAATGAATCAACAATCTCCGAGAAATTTAACTAAACAAAGGAAAACAGGTGTGTTTTGATTTACAATATATCGTATTGTTTTGTCTTTTCAAAGATATATATTTGACAATTTTTATTTAAGCAATTGGGTTCAGGGATACCGCGTTATTGGAAATTTTTCAGCTAGGATTAGTCGTTTTGCGAAGATTACTGAATGGTGGAATTTTATTCGCGAATGGTTCGATCCATTTTTCTTAATATTCGCGCGCAACTTAATGTATAATTATATTAATTAGTATATATATGTATATTTTTTTTTCTCCAGATCTTCAGGAGCATAAATCGAAAGAATATTGTTTAACATTGCTTCGCAACTGTCTTGCTTTTGATTTTATCGGCACCTCTCCTGATGAATCCGGCGAAGATGTTGGAAGCATTCAAGTAAGATATATCTCAGTAATATTCTTGTTTGGATTTTATACGCTATTTATATAGCATATTATTTTTTTATTAACACACTATAGGTTACATCATCCTGGCGTTCAACAGTTGAAGATCCATCATTTCTTCAAATCATGTTTGAGGCATATAAACAGTTTCAACCACCTCACTCAAGCCAAGTACTATATTTTTGCTATACATACATATATTATCTCACCTATAATTATTCAACACTAATATATTTTATAATTTAACAAGGTTATGGAAGTTATTGTTCAAATTTCTTCCATTCGCAGATCTCTCTTTAATGAAGAAGAGAGGTCCAAATTCTTATATAGCCTGATGAAAGGGATCAGTGAAATCCTAATTGGAAACATAGGACTTTCTGACTTGAACAATTACCATGAGTTTTGCCGCCTTCTTTCTAGATTTAGATCAACATATCAATTGAGTGAAATTGCTGAAAAATCTGGATACAATGAATGGATTGATTTGGTTGCTGATTTTTCTATTAAAGGCTTTAATAATTGGCAGGTACTGATCTTTATCAATGTTTTATCTCTTTAATAGTATATTCATTTCCAAAACATGATCTAGACGCGATAATGTTTATGCTCTTATGATTTTTTTTTTTTTTTGATTTCATGATTTTAGTTAGTCCCAAATAGTGTGCAATATTTGCTGACCTTTTGGTCAAAAATGCTTTCATCAACTGGAAGTTCACGTGCGAGTTCGGTATCAAAACTCGAGTTAATCGCGTCCAGGGTAACTTTCGTTAAAACTAAATAAATAACTGTATACAATCGTCTACTAGTACTCATAATTTCTCTTTATATTCAGCTGACGCATACATTTATCACATCAAAAATTGAATCTGTAGAAACAACTATAGATGGTGTAATTGACGGTTTGTTTTTATTATTATAATAGTATATCTATTTAGAACAATAATAAATAAAACTCCTACTTTTTTTCATAAAAGATCCTTTGGAAAATGAAGATGCACTCATTAATGATCTTGAAATGTTTGCAAATATTGCACGATGTAAATATGACGAAGCTAATGTGGCAATCATGAATGCATTTAATCCTATAGTGCAACAATTTAAGGTATGCTTCATTGTCCATGCTGACTTGTTATATTATTGCCTTTTTCATATTCTCACCTCCTTATGATTATGTATAGGCATTGTTGCAGCAAGTAAATACTGGTGTTGTCCACGAGTATTTGACAATTTTAGACGTCATTGAGAGTAATGATTTTTATTGTTTGCTTTGATTAAATTGTAACTTTTATAGGTCTAATAGGTTATTTTATTTTTATATAGCAAAGTTTGCTTGGTTAGTGTACATGATTGGAGGTCTTATCGGGGGTAGACAGGTGTATATTAATTCTTTTTTCAAGTCATCGAATTTATACATTGTAGTATATTCACTCATATCATATTCATTGCAAATAGACTTATGTCAGTACGGAAGATCAAGATTTGATCGATGGCGAACTAACATGTAAAGTTGTGAATCTTTTAACTGCATTCAAGTCATGGAATGGCCCGGTGTTTATCTTATATTTTTTTATCAACTTGTATTTACGCCTTTTAAGCGAGCTAACTTAATGATACATCTTAAATAGCGCGGCAATAACACTGGCTATGAAAAATTAGAATTAGCTTTTATATATTTCTTTCAACAATTTCGAAAAAGCTATATTGGTGAAAGTGCCCAAAAAATATCAAAAGTATACAGTAAATTATCCGATCAACTTGGAATTAATGATCAGACAATGGTATATATTCAGCTTTATTGTTTATCTGATATATTTGAAACATCGTTAATTTCATTCTTATTTTATTATTTTTATTTTTTACCTTCATACTTAGCTTCTAGATCTAATTGTGCAAAAAATGTACGTAAACTAGTTATGCTTTTTTTTAATTCTTTAGATAATTAAACATTTTCTATTCAACATGTAGAGGATCAAATCTTAATATGTGGGCTCAATGTTCAAAGATAGTTCAACGGACTGTGGCTCTCTTTAATGATTTGGCCGGAGGGTATGAAGTTATATAATTTAATATTGTTAACTTGAGTAAATATTTAATATATTAACTTTCGATTTATTTGCTTCATAATTTTCCTTACAGCTACAGTTCTGTTAGATTACTCCGCAATATTCCAACTACACAGTTCATTATCAAAAAACATACAGTTAAAGATTTTCCATTTCTTGACGCTCAGAATAACCTACGGACGCGTATGATATATTACTCGGCACTTTCTAGAATATTGTTTGCTGATGATAATGTTGAACGAGATTTTGAGGAGTTTGTCAGGCCTTGGGATATTACAATGGCTCAACTCGGTGCTTTAAACTCTTTTGAGGCTTTCAGACAACCGGGTGTTAAAGTATGTTTAAATATTTATGCCATATATATATAATTAAGTTGATTTTTTGGTTTCAATAGCACAAAATTTAAGTGATCTAGTTTATTAGCTTTAAATATTTCATTATGTGAATTTTCCAAAACTGAGCTGACCAAATTATGAAACCAAGAAATTTTTAATAGCCTTAAATTATTATACAGAAATAGAAAATTTCTTCAAAGCTAATATATTTCAATTCGACTAATTAAGGCAACACTCTCAGGAATATTCCGTGATTTAAGAGGATTCCTTTCAGCAATTCAAGGCCGAAAGAATTTTTTGATTTTTTTTGAATGGTTTTATCCTAACTATATGCAAATCCTTTGTCGTGCGCTAGAGGCTTGGTCTGACGACGTATTAGCCATTACAATTCTAAAATTCTTCCTCGAATTTGTAAATAATCGAACACAAAGATTGAATTTTGATATCTCATCACCGAATGGTATACTATTATTTAGAGAAACAAGGTAATATAGAGCTTACATTTGACTATCATTGTTGTTTTGCATAATATTGTACTGTTAATGTAATTATTTTTTCAAAAAGCAAAGTGATATCTACATATGGTAAGTTTCGCTTGTTGTGGACTTAATATTGTTCAACTTCTGTTTCACGACTTTTTTTTTTATTTTCAGGGCACCAAATTAAAAATCGCCCTCTAATGAGTCTTGACAAATATATTGAAAAGTAAGTCCTTATATAATCTCACATACATTTACTAGAATATTTCTCTAAAGATTTTTATATATTGATAGATACAAGGGCATTTCTATTTGCTTTAATATATTGACGAAATCATTCGCTGGTCGTTATGTCAATTTTGGAGTTTTTGCATTATATGGTGATAACGCTTTAGAAATTGCTTTGAAAACATCATTTGAAATGATGCTCAGTGTACCAATTGAAGATATCCTTGTAACTATGATTAATTATTATTAATTGATTTGATACCATTTTAAAGTTTTTATTAAATGTATCGAGTCACATTTAACATTTGATCTAGGCATATCCCAAGTTTTCAAAAGCATTGTTCGATTGGCTGGATACTTTTACTAATGAATATATGATGACATTACCAAGCATGGATTCAGACGTCTTTCTGTATATTATGCGTGCTCTTGCGGAGGGTATTCAACAACCTGATATCCTTTAAAATCTCTAAAGTGAAAATTTTTGTTTTTGACATATGTAATATTATCCTTAATTCTAAATTTAACATGGAGCTCCGTGTTCATCTGCATGCAATGCTATTGATCATATATGTACATTTGTGATTCAACAGTCTGCTATGCAGAAGCCTAAGCGACACTGGCTTCTTTCATATTTAAACGAGTATCCTACAGTATTGCCTACTTTGTTTGTGGCAAATTTCAATGTGGTTCTATTTGAAGAAAGACAAAATCAATGGTCTTTATCACGTCCACTGCTATGTTTAATATTATTGAATCAAGATGTAAGATAGTATATACATTTTCTTGTAAAATGCTTTTTTTGAAATCTAACATTTTATTTTGTAAAAAGTATTTTCACAAATATACAGAAAATATTTTGCAACACCAATTACCTGAAAGAAGGGAGGCTTTGAGAAAGGTTATTATTTGCTCAAATTATTAAAAATGCTTATTCTTATCGATAGTTTACTGAAACTTTTATCCCATTAGGCTGTCAAAACTCTCATGGAAGATGTAGACGTTAATTTAACTACTAAAAATCGAGATAGATTTACACAGAATCTCAGTACGTTTAAGAGAGAGTTAATTAGCGGCAATGTTATATTGGTTCCTCCGCCAATGGATGCTAAGATGAATATGTGAATGATAAACGGTTGTTTAAAGGCTTTGTTCTTACATCTGTCTTCATATATACTACTATATATTTTATTGATAGTTCTCTCTTTTTTTTTTTTTTTTCTCTATTTTTTTTCTTTATTTTTTTTTTTTATTTCATTTTTTGGCAATGGCCGGATATCCTTTTTAGAAGATCCTTAATGAAATATTTTTATATTGATTTCTCTTATTTATCAACTCTAACAATGTGTCATTTGTAATTCAGTTTTATATCCTGAGCTTTTCTTTTTTAACTGAGATTTCGTTTATAAATTGTACATCTAAACTGCCTTAATCAATTTTATATCAATTAATTTACAATTCATTTTTTTATATGAACTATTTAACTAAGTACTTTCTTTTTGTCATTTAGCTCTAAATTTCAAGGCGCAGCAGGTTGGTTTTATATGTGTGTATACTTTTAATACTTTTTTATTTTTATTTATATTTTTTATTTCTATCCGAAATTTGTCATTTGATCAGTTTATGAAATATTGAAAATTTTTAAACTTAATATTACAACAAATAATTAATTCTAATTCAATTTTGAGCATTTTATTTTAGCGTTTGTTCTGAGTTGTTACAGTTGTGAAGTGTATTGCCGATCATATTCCAACCAGGATCTTTAGTTCCATCTCTGTGACGTATGAAGTAAAAATAATCCATTTTTTTTTCTTAAAACCCTGTTAATCATAGAAGAAAGGGTGATATGTTAATATTTGACTAAAAAAAATTATGATCTTGTTGGTTGTTTATGGTCACTCTAGGGTATATTAAGATATATAATCCGAATTAGATTATATGTTTAAGTATGCTATTGGAGCGTTCTTTTAACAACCTCATTGAAGAGTTGTAAGCGCTAGAGACAGAATAAGGTCCTATTTATAGTTAGGGATGATCTGCATTGGGTATGTTACGTTAGGGATGCATGAACTTTGCGTTTACAGTACTTGTCTTTGTGGACTGCATCAGCTTGTGCATCTTAGAATATGCCCATTTTGTTTCCGCATGTTCCCTTTTGCGGCCTGGTAATTTTGCATATAAAGGGCGATTCAATAGTTGGCACGAAAATAAAACTTCCTCTTGAATAATTATCTGTTAAATAAAAATTTTTTTTCAAAATATATCATTTATATTATTTTATTTTATTTTATTTATTTATTATTTATACCAATATATTACTTCTAACCGGTGTTTATTGTCTTTATTTCTACCAGTGACAGAAAAAAAAAAAAATGCCGATATTTTTTCAAGAGGTTTCGGTATTCAAAGTATCACGGTAATTGTATTAGCTTTTTTTAAGTTACTGGGTTTATGTGTTATAAAAATGTGTACTGGCACATATAATGTAAGGATGTAGACTTAGATTACTATGAGTGACGCCAAGGAAAAACCACACTTCGGGCTTTTAAACTTATAACTTACCCGACTCAATCCTTGAAAATCCGTATAACTGAGTCCGGCAAATTATACGTAAATTTAAAACTCAAAGTCTGGATTTTTTTTTTTTTTGGTGTTATTTATAAATAATTTTAAACGGTCTAACATCCCTAGGCACAGTACACGCATAAATATCTAAGTTTCGTTATATAAAGTTACGCTGGAAACGGTGTTGAAAGTTTTACATCCGTTCTAGAACATACATATTTTGTCTACTTGTGTTTTCAATTTATTAAACAATCCTCCTAGATGAGAGGAAACTTCAATATTGTTTTCAAAAATTCTGTGTTAGGGGAACATCAAAATTTTCAGCGATACTGGGGGCTTAATTATATATATAGGTCTAGGCAATTTGAACAATTAAATGATGATTAAAATTAACAGAATCACGTATAATAAAGTGGATTGTTTCTCGGATGTTTTTCAAAAATATAGTTTCATTTTTTAAAAACGATATATATATAATTTTTGAATATGATTTAAAATAATGTATTAAATTTATTGAAACTTAAAGTGTCCATAATAAAAGTATATGCAAGATTTTTGTGAAATAAAAATAGTCCTAAAATGTTTTAGATCAGCAAATATATATGTTTTTTACGAAATTTTTTATGCTTGTGATCAGCTAAGAATCTAGATTTTCATGTCATACCAGATACGATGAATTTCTTTTTTTTCGTTATCTTTGTTTGTTATGCAAATCTCTCAATAAATGAATTGTGTTTGAGCATCTTAGTTTGCGCGCTATCAAAAAACGTTAACAATGGGATATCACCAATAAGGAAGAAAAAAACAACCCGTGCACATAAACAAGAATCTTACAGAATTAACTGAGATAGGGTCATCCAATTTTCGCTTAAATACATAACTAAATGAAAGATAAAGCTGTCTTTGTTTTTTTTAAATAAATGAAATAGGCAAAAAATTGTTAATTGCTAATTCTTTATTAAGAAATTCATAGCACAAAATCAGATTTTCCGAGCAACACCTAGGCCGGAAAATGGATTCTACATATAAATTTTATAATTTGTATACCTCATTCTCATTCATTTGTAAACTACAGGTTAATTGCTGTGAATTAAAGTTAATTAGAAAGTTACAACAAAAGAAATATCAAACCTTTAATATTATCAATAAACTAAGTCTTTTGTTAGACCCGTGATTTGTTCCATCATAAATAAGTGATTTGATTGGTTAATAAATCTAAAAATACTTAGAAATTGACAGGAATAGTGATTGGCGCCGTAATCATGTGATGCTAATTGTCACATGATACAATATAAAAAATCAACAATTAGATTGTTG